AAAAATTATCTAGGGAAAACAGTTTATTTAGTATATATATATATATATTTCTCATTTTCCTTTTTTATACTTTTCTTTTATTGTATATTGTATACAGAATTGCTTGTTTTGTTTTGATCAAATGAATAAATAGTTGAAATTGGAAAAAAGTAGTACTATAATACACAACAAAAATTATCTAGGGAAAACAGTTTATTTAGTATAATGATATTGAAAAAGTCAAATACCTTAATACAATCAGATTAACTGCTTCAGGTTTTTGCAGGTTTATGTTATATTGAGCAAAAAATATGAGCTTACCTTCTTTATCAATTATAGTAAAATTTGGGTTGGTGCCACGCATGTTGAAGACAAACTTGTGCCCAACAAGAGGTTCATCAGTGTCAACAGCACTTATTGTTTGAATGAGCTGTAAAGAAAGAAAGAAAGAAAAAATGACATATAAATTATTAAATAAATAAATGAGGACTAATCATGAAAAACAAACAAATGACAGTCATTTGTCTTCCTAATGGGGGCAGTTATGACTGACAAAAGGTCAAACTACAGTATGGCTTATCTGTGTTTAATTAGGTCATTTAATTAATTTTGCATACTAATTATAGAACAATGCATTGAATAGTTCAATGCTCATTCATAAACAGTGCACACTGTATAATCATGCATTTGTAAAACCACAATTAAAGTTCAAGTACCTGTCCTGCTTTGACGTTTTCACAGACAAATGTGTCGTAGGACGTTGCAAACTCCGGGGCGTTGTCATTGACATCCAATACCTTGATGAACACCGGCACTCGAGTTGTCTGACGAGGATTATCTGAAACATATAAATGTGAAAATAAGCTTATGTGGCTGGGTGAAGTATTTATATAAAAAACAGTCATTAATGATTTCAAATTTTTAAAGAACCATAAAACATATTGAAAGATCATTTACTCATTTCAGTGGCCACTACAGAGATGTTGTGCCATTTGGACATCTCTCTGTCGAGTGCTTTCAGTGTTGTGATTGTGCCATTGATGGAATCAATGCTAAACAACCGTTCAAGATCTGTGTGCCTGTCAATGGAGTATCTGCAAGAAGAACACATGGCATTACCAATGTATTCACATGAACATGTCAAGTGTTCCTCTCAAGAATTTGCATGAAAACCATGTTTTACTTCCTTTCTGCAGACCTGTTTGTATAGTTAAAAAGAACAACAAAATAAATAAATAAATAAAAGTGTTAAAAATTCACGCACCATTGTTTAAAATGTATATATATCTTAAGTGCTCCATTGTAAAACGATGACATGTCTTTCATTGAGTCTACTCGTTTATCACAGTCACCTCTTGTGTTCGGTGGAAATTTGAATATGCAACACTACACACCATGTGGCATGGGCCGACAGTGCATATCTCTACAACAGGGACAGGCGGGCGCCATATGTTTCCAACGGTGGCAATGAGCTGTGCGAATCGATACAGCAAATTAAACTATTTGACTTTGTGCAAAGCCACAGAGGGCTTACATAATTCTGGGAAATAAACACTGTCTGTATTCACTTCACAGGGCAACTGCCATCTTCCGCTGGGAAATCACCAAGAGGGATCCATGAATAATATTCTTTCCTTTCCTCTTGCACGCTTGCACGTGGGTGGCTTGATGGATTAGATAAACCTACTGGGCATATTTTCATCATTCCTGCATAAAACTAACAAAAAAAAAACTGTAAGCCTATAAATATCACAGCTGCTTGTTTTAGCATTGATTTTGCACTTGTATAATTGAACCTGGGATGATGAGTTTTGAAACAATCAAATCACTATAATAAAGACCTACATGGTTGTTGAGGAAATCTTTGCTTAAGAGGCTATTGATTTATTTGTAAGTTTAATAGTGTGCACTTAATTTCCAGGAAGAATAATCCTGAGTGACAAGACTGAAAASGTTTTTAGTATTCCACTCAAATAGTCATGGCACAGTTAAAGGTGTAAACACACTTTTTTGTCTTTTGTAACGTACTTGACTGGTTTGTTGTCAGCGTCTGGGTCCCTGGCAAAAACAACACCAACGAAGCTGCCAGCAGCCGTGTCCTCATGCACTTCGATGATATAAGGGTTCCTTGTGAAAACAGGGGGCTCGTCCACATCTTCTACCATGACCTTGACCGTGGTGCTGTCTTTGAATTGCACACCATTGACGAACCTTGGATCTAAGTAGGCGTTTTTCACCTCCACTGTGAACTCGTAGTCCTTCTTACTTTCATAATCCAGTGCCTAGAGATGAAAGAGCATCAGAGGGAACGCTGTAGACTTCTGTTTAAAAAATAAAATCTCCAGGAGTTTGATATGCAATTCATTGCATTTCATTTGTCTCCCTATATCTTTGTCACTTGCTAAATTCAGAGTAACAAATCCAAGTCAGGAATACTGATCTCAAAGATCTTAAGGGAGAACTGAGGATAAAATGGTTCTTTGCAAAATACTCTTCTATATTATTCATTTTATAGGCTTATGGTATCAGATTTTATACTGCAGTTCAAAAAAAATCTGTCATATCTTCGTTTTACATGAGTAACTGCTTTTAGGGGGTATTTTCTCAAATGAATGCATGCTTTTTCTCAACCAACTGGTGTTAAATATTCTACAATGCAGTTATGAAGCAAAGATTTTGTATATAAAGACAAGATCAAAAGGCATCCACAGATTGATTTTAAATAAAACATGCAATAAGTTTGGGTTTAGTTTAAACCCTAAGATATTTTCTGTCAAACCTCAATTATTTAACACAACTATGAAGTGTTTAAAATCTTTCAAAGCAAATAAAGAAACCAAAATGCCTATTATTTTGAGTGCAACTTAGAAATGGAAATAAGTACGAAACTGAAGAAGTTATTGAGGAACTTCTGATCATCAGGATCATACAAGGGTAATGTTTTTTTTTTTAATCTAAACAAATATTAGGTCGTAAGGCGTAATGTAAAATGTGCAGTTTATTATTCATGAATATTTAAGTCTGTGATAACCTTGGCTAATACGTACTGTTGTTCAATACAAACTACCACGAATCATGAAATAAGGCTTTAGGTGTAGATTATGAAAGGACAAACCTTTTTTATTMTGATAACTCCCTCCTGTGTAGTTTGGTCAGTTGTGATATTAAACGTGTCATGACCACCAACAATGCTGTATACCATTTCAGCACTTTTGCCCACATCTGGATCATCAGCCTTAATACGTCCAATGGCACCATCAATCTCTGTAGACTCCACAGCTGTCACACGGAAGGAATCTAACCATGAGAGTTAAGTAAAATAATATATTTCAGACAAGCCAACTGTATAAGCATTGCAAGTGGATTTTTTTTCTTTTATTAAGTGTGGTGACAAATATTCTACAGGATTCCTTACGATTAGGAAAGCGTGGCGGACTGTCGTTGACATCGGAAAGGGTGATGCAGACTGTTGTGGTCCCRGAGAGCCCACCCATCTGTCCAGCCATGTCTTTAGCCTGAATCACAACCTGGTAATTTTCTTTGACTTCTCTGTCCATGCCAGGCAGGGCRGTTTTAATGGTGCCTGGAACAAAAGAGTGAGAATATTTCAATCATTTTACATTATCTTTTTTCTTGTTAAAATAAACGTCATTATGTAATATGTTTTATTTATCTTTGTTAAAATGATTAATWCACCTTTTTGCTTTTACGTTATAACATGTATTAGTGTTCTTTAACACAAAACTGTTTTTACAGAACTATAAATCAAGTTTCTATTTTTTGTCCTAGAAAAAAAAAATCTGCATATTATTAGAAATGCATTCCAACAGATTTTTCTGAGTTTGGCTTACCATTCTCAGAATCCACAGAGAAATAGGGTTGTCCTTGTAGAATGCTGTATACAAGCTTGGCACTGTTCCCATATGTCTGATCATCAGCATCAGTGGCAGTTACRGTGGCAACAGATGTACCTGCATAAAAAAAAGTTAATAGTAATAAAACATGAAAAAATGTAATTAAATTAAATGTAATACAGAGGMCAAGTCATGATCAAGAAACTGAGTCAACATACTTGTGTTTTCTTTTGGTTTGCATTGTTGGCTGGAGGCCCAAGAGCACTTTTCAGCCATGCAATTTCTCAAACTGACAGTTTTTAGCAACAGTGCCCTGATGTTACTCCTGTTAAACTGGTAGCCAGTGACTAATCTCCAACATTCTTGTCAAACCAAAGGTCTTGGAAGTAAATCAAGTTTGGTTGCTCAGTATGATGGCAAGGTATATACTGCGAAATATTAAAATAACTGACTTGACTTCTGCTGGAATTTCAGTAAAGGTTAGTGGCATTATACTTGCTTCTTGACTACAATTTTGTTTATTAACACGTATAAATGTAAAGAAAAATGAATGAAAATTTGGTGAATGTTTGGCAGCTAYAACTCTATGGTTAGATGGTCTCAGTCATCAGTTATTCAAAAGCTCATGTCTGAAAATAGCCAATGGTCACAAACAGACATGTTTAAGACTTGACAGTGACTCATCATTTAAAAAATACAGCGATAGCAAATGTGCATCAGAGTCAAGGTCCAGGCAATAATTATCTTGTGAATTTGTGTCTTCAAATAGTCATGAATGAGCTCAAACTAGCGAGACACTACCTTAAGCACACATTACATCAGAGCATTGTGAAAGTGATCAGAAGTGTTATTTTCATCTCTGAAACAGCAGAACAGGCTCTGTCTTTTTGCAGAACATGACACATTTCCAATGGCAAATGGAATAAAAGTCATGCTTATTTTATGCAGAGAGCAAAGAGAAAACCAGAGGCATATCAGTGTTTCCACAGTGGTAAGATCATTGATTTTATTTTATTTCTTTTCAGCATGGAGATTAAAGTCAGATCATATTTTTGAAAGCTGATGTGAAGCTGAGAGGATCAAGCACTACAAACCAGACCACATTGGTCCTAATCAGCGGAGATGTAACATGAGTTTGAAACCTGTGATTCCTACTTGTAAAGAGAAGGTATAATCAGCAGTGTTTTTGATTCATTTTAAGCAGCAGTAATCTTAAATAAGATACAACTCATGGGTGCTAGCCTGCTAGATAACAGTTCATCAGTGAACAATAATAAACCAAACTCCTTTGTTCTCCACTCTATAACTACATTGTTATGAAAGGAAATTTAATTTTCAGGTCAACTTCTGTCTGCAAGGTGAAAAGTCAAGGGGACATTTTTTTTCTAACGATGCTGTACAAAATAATGGTATAACAGCTAAAAACAAATAAACAAGTAAAAGTCTAGCATTCACTGAAATAATGCAAATTGCCTGCCATCTTTCATACCAGTTTTAAGCAAAAATTCTTATGCCAACAAATAAGAGAGTTGTAGCTTTTCTGGTCAAAGCTTGAAAATATTGTAACGTGCAATGTCACACAATATTGCAAGATATGCTGRCTATGTCTTGGGCATTATTACCAGCTACTACCACTTCAAATTTAAGATTCATATCGAATAATTCACTGTTGTATCCATTTTTAATTACATTTTGACATTCCACAATATTGCTAATGTTTTAACACTGAAAGTGATGCCTAACACACAACCCAAGCACTTTTGGGTTGTGTGTTAGGCATCAGTTTAAACTACAACCACACCAGATCTTAGCTCAATRTCTGTAGAATTGGTTGAAAAATAGCCACTTTGTGTTTTCTAATATCAATTGGCTGTGGCATCCATGTTGAATTGGGTTGTTGCCAAAAAWTATGTAATTCTAGATGAACCTGAGGTAATCATTTTCTTCATAAGCTAGTTTGCWAACAGAAACACAGGGAGGCAAAAATTAAATTCTGGCCTGCCATTTGCATTATAGGGATAGACAAATATTGAAGAATATATATAAATGGATGTGTTATTCTCAAAGTGTCATTAGGCTGTAGTAAGCATCACAAAATTACTTTAACAGTTTTCTATACTCAAAGAAGTCAGCTAACAAATTTCCTCTTTTATTTTTACATATGACATGACTACTCCATGTCTTACACTACAAAAACTGTCAATCCTACCAAGTTTGAAAGTAATATTTCCAGCCAAAAGGTCCTTTTGATCTTGTTTTGAGACTGATTTACTAAACAAGAACTAATTGTGTAAGAA